GTCCTCTCTTCCACCTTCACCTAGAGAATAAATATAACCTTCTTGACCTGCACAATTTCTTTTGCCCGCAGCCGCAGGGTTCCCAGCCTGCGTCCTCCCGGCTGTCCCATGGGTCACGCAGCTCTCTGTCATCCTTGTCCTGTCCACCTGCCGTGCCAGGGCACTCCAACACAGAGTCCCACAGGCGGTCAATACTGTGCTTCACACCTGCACCGTGCCTTGCTCCGTGTCCCTCTGGTCTCATCCCCGTCCTCCCTGTAGAGTTCCCCTCCATCGTCTCATGCCTCTCTGGTCACACTGTCTCCACGTCCACTTTTCCCTCCATCGACCTTAATCGTAGGCGACTCCGTTGTAAAAAACATCCGCTTCACATAGTGTTTCCCTAGTGCGATGGTCTTTGACATTTTAATACATCTCCCATCCATCCATCCATTATCAATACCGCTTATTCCCTGATGGGGTTGCGGGGGGAACTGTAGCCTATCCCAGTGGTCAACGGGCGAGAGGCAGGGTACACCCTGGACAGTCCGCCAGTCCATCGCAGGGCCACACACAGGACATACAAGGACAAACAACCACTCACACTCACAGGGCAATTTCCCCAATCTCCAATCAACCTAACATGCAGGTCTTTGGACTGTGGGAGGAAGCCGGAGAACCCCGAGAGAACCCACGCAGACACAGGGAGAACATGCAAACTCCACCCAGAAAGGCCCTGGTTCCCCCGGGATTCGAACCCAGAACCCTCTTGCTGGGAGGCGACAGTGCTAACCACCACACCACCGTGTACAAATTATACACCCCTCCGCAGACCGAGCTCATGAAAAATCACTTCACCCAACTTTTAAAGTTCTTGAAAAACTGTGAACTGTCTGCATTTATCTAACCTGCACTTCCTCTCCTCCTGCCAGCACCTTTGCCACACTGTGAGCATTTCTCTAGTTTTCAACTCTCTGATAATCTTCAAATCTATGACCTCATCTGGAAATCCAAACCCTATTCCTGTCTTCCTTGAGCCCCTCCCCACCACCCTGGTCAAATCAGGCCTCCCCTCTGTGCTTCCCTTTCCCATTCCCTTTTTATCCGCCATCATTCATTCCTCAATCACCACTGACACTGTTCCCTTATCCCTCAAAACTGCAGCTATCACCCCAATCCTAAAAGAAACCTGGATCAGAACCCAACAATTACAATAACCTCCACCCCATCTCCAACTTACCTTTCATATCCAAAATCCTTGGAAAAGTACTCGCCACCCAATTACATACCCATTTGAGACAAAACTCCTTTTATGACCCTTTTTAATCTGGTTTCCGCCCCCGCCACATCACCAAAACTGCACTCATAAAAATCACAAATGATCTTCTTACTGCAGCTGATTCCGGTTCACTTTCCATCCTCATTCTCCTTGACCTCAGTGTAGCCTTTGACAACATCTCCCACCCCATCCTCCTTAGTAGACTCTCCTCCATCGGCATCACCTACCGCCCCTTTCACTGGTTCCACTTCAATCTCTCAGGTTGCACACAGTTGATCCAGCCCAATTCTTTCAAGTCTAACCTCTCCCAAGTCACTACAAGTGTACCCCAGGGCTCTGTCCTGGGGCCCCTTCTTTTCATCACGTATCTACTCCCCCTTTCGTAAATTCAACATCCAATACCACTGCTATGTGGATGGCATACAGCTCTACCTTTCCAGTAAACCAAACTCCACACTCCCATCCTCTTCCTTCACCACCTACTTATCTGAAATCAAATCCTGGTTCACTCCCAATTTCCTGAAATTAAACAGTGAAAGAACATAAACCCTTCTTATTGGCACCAAGTCCACACTATCCAAAATTGACCATTTCCCCCTTTTCATCGACAGCTCCTCAGTTTCCCCCTCCCCTCAGGTTAAGAGTCTGGGTGTCATCCTTGACACCACTCTATCATTTAAAGGGGACATATTATGCAAAACCAAGTTTTTAATAATTTCATTATGTGTATGTGGGACTGTGGAGGCAGCAGGCAAAGTGTGAAAAAAAAAGACTGCCTCAGTCTCAATACAGGAGATAAATCAGGCGGTTTCAGAAATCGGTAGTTTATGATGTCATTAGCTGTAGCTCATTATAATATTCCAGCCTTTCACATGCATGTTGCCACCCACCTCAGCTTATTCCGCCTATCTGTGGCAGACGTTGTGGTAACGTGAGCGTGAGCATGGTAGCGTTAGCGTGCCGACATTGGCACACCTCCCGGAAAAAGTGGGTGGATTGCCTGTGTCTCATTTGCATTAAGGAGACAGGCACTCAAAACCGAGCGCTGTGTACGGGGCGGTTTTGGCAGGGTGATTGAACTGCTATTGTGCTTCATCCTTATGGTATTTTGACCGAAGCCTGTCACAGACATTACATTAGGACACCAGGGAACTAGTTTACATTGTTGAAATAGGGTATAATATGTCTCCTTTTAATCTCATATCAACAACACCACTCGATCTGCCTACTTCCACTTACGTAATATTAACCGACTCCGTCCCTCCCTCGACCCCAACACTACCCCCATCCTTGTCCATAGTCTCGTCAGTCCTGTCTAGATTATTGCAACTCGCTTCTCTTCGGTCTCCCTCACAAGTCTCTCCATAAGCTTCAACTGGTGCAAAACTCTGCTGCAAAACTCAGAGCACAGTTAAAGAGGCAAAAAGGGAATATTTGGCAAATGTAATTTCTTCAAACAGTCATAATCCACGTGTTTTGTTTAACACCATTGACTTTGTGCTAAATAGTTCTCAGAATGACTGCTTGGAAGCTTTTCCTGAGGTGTGTGATGATTTTATGCATTTCTTTATTGAAAAGGTTGGTAGTACCAGGGCTCGTATCACAGCTCCTGACTCTGACCCTTCAATCTCAGTCCCCTGCTCGGCTGCTTTCAATCAGTTTGAGCCTGTGACTATCTCACTTTTAGAGGATGTGGTTGGCCACATTAAGTTATCAGGTTCCCCCCGGGATCCTGTGCCTCCACGACTTTTTAAAGATATTTTTCCTTGTATAGGGCAGCCTGTTCTTGCAATTATAAATAGCAGCCTGTCTTCGGGTGTGGTTCCCGCTAGTTTTAAACAGGCAGTAGTGCAGCCACTGCTTAAAAAACCTGGCCTTGATCCTACCGTTCTGGCTAACTATCTGTTATGTTCCCAGCTCTGGAGCTGGCTCCACCCCCACCTGCACA